ACAATCACAAAAGAAATGGCACCAAACAGGATAGAGAGAATTTGCTTTTGCAAAGCCCCCAAGGATGTGTTTTGGTTTTGCTACATAAATCCCCAAACCACAGTGGTTGTTGTTTTGGACTGTCAGCCTGCAGCAAGCAGCTAAAGCCCTCAAAACTTCTTAAGAAGGATACCACAGAATGAACAGTGAAACAGCATCCTAATTCAACCCATGGCAAGAAAAGCAGCAAGGCACCTAGAAACAAGAAAGCAACTATTTGTCTTACAGATGCTGAAAGACCAGAACCAGCTGAGGTAGTGTTAACTCTGCCCTCCACAGATGCAGACTGACAGGTACAAGGACCAAACAGCTATAAAAGAGGAGAGGGTTAAAAGAATGCAAGCCTTCAGACATCTTTAGTCTGCAGCTTGTCCTATATTTACATCTTTTTCTAAAAATACTTAAAAAATCTTCACCGGAAGTTGTGAACCATATGTCAAAAGGCAAATCCCTCTTGCTTAAATTTTGTCATGCTAAGCTGTACCACACAAATACTTAAAATAGCACATGACCCACAGCACACTGCATACATTTGAATGCAATCAGTGGTCTGGGGTCTGCTTGTGTTTGTCCTGTCTCTGTATAATGTGTGGCATCCAGAACATGCTGCAGAAGAATGAGATAGGCACAGTGGAACAGAATAATAAAATAACAATAGCTTGATTTTATTTGTCAAGGGACAGATGAAATCGTATTCTCTTACTGCTCATAACTGAACGTTTCAGAGCTTTGCTAGCATACTGCTGTGATAGGTGGTGCTGAATATTTCATCAGTGGTGGGCCAGAAAACGTGGAGTTGAGGACATCACTTTGGAAACAGAGCAGCAAAGAAAATTAAAAATTCAGCTGCCTGCCCATTTGACTGATACACAAAGCTCTGACGTAGCTTCTGATTCAGAAGCTGTGCCTGCTGTGCCACTCCCAATGTAAATTGCCTTTCACATACATGGATAAGCAGTATAATCAAATCAGGATTTAAAGCAGGATGTGCTCAAAGGAACTGCTGATTTCTCTCAAAGCCTGCCATTGCACTCTCTGAACTTTTGCACACATTAAGTAGCATATGAGATTTATCAGAGGAAAAAGGGGAGTACAAATACCAAGGTAACCAAATATAATCTGCTCACCTACAGTGTGCAAATAAATAGCTCTTCCAGGATTTTCTGTGCCACTCTCCTATTCATGGGGCATACTCCTGCCTGCGAGAAACACCACTCAGCATCAAGAACTAGATCAGTTGTGGAGTGACCTGGTTTGTAGCACATTCACACCACTGCCCCTTGAGAAACCATTTGCAGCCGGAATGCCAAATGGTCTCTCCCATACAAATGATCTGCTTATGATTTCCAAACTCTGTCCTAACAGTCATGGTCAGACAGACTTCGATCTGAAACTCGTACACTGATCCATTCTCCTCTACCCTAGCATGAGCAAAAGATAGCCAGCAGTATTCTTCCTTACACATCTGGAATTTGCTGCTACCATAACTGCCTGTCACCCTAATGGGGTGTTTGCACACTACTCACTGGTCAGCTGCCTAGCAAAAACATTCTTACTTCATGTACGTGCTGCTTCCTGCCCTCTGCAGTGCTGTGGGTCTTCCCACGTATCCATCCATGTACTCAAACCAAGGCATCTTCTGTTTAAAGCAACAGACATCAACTGGTGACAAACACCCGCAGGTAAGGACTACAACTCTCACACCCCAACTTCCTGCCTCAGTCTCTGCTGGAGTTCTGAAAATAAACCGAGGTTCTACAAGGCTGCTTTTAGCGTAGAAGCTGGATTTCTCATTTTGGATTCTGCACCTTAAACCTATGGCTGTAAACCTGCCTTTTAAGGTAGCAACTTCAAACATATTCTGTATTTTAAAGGAACTTCAAACGTCCAACTGCTGGATTGCAGTTCATCTGATTACCAAGCATCAATCAAAAAAATTCTTCTAATTTTTGAAGAAAACGTTCTCTATGCAGTTGCTATGCTACAGGAACACCTCTAGATTCTACTTCACATAATTCAAATGCATTGCTCAGCATAAAGACCTCAAAAATAACAGACAGAAATTACAAGTGCACGCCTTATCTTCAGGCACATACACTTTCCAATGCCAGAACATGACCTGCTTCTCCTGGATGAGCTGTCACAGTGGACTGTCAGGAAGACATAAGGGAAACTTTAATGCATTTCTAGTTTAGTCAAAAAAAAAAAAAAAAAAAAAATCACAAGGCCCAAGATTCAAATTTGTCAACAGCTAATAATAGAGAAACTGTGCAAAATAGAATGTAATATTTCTAACAGTGAGAAAATCTAGGAAAAAACAGCACCTTATTAGATATTATGAATGAAATCCATGATACAAATTCACAGGGAACTGGATCTCATTTATTGTGCTGCTCACAGAACTACTTGTTCAATTTAGGGAAAAACTACCTTTGTCAGAGCTGTCTCTTTTAAAGCAAAGATTATTCATTGCTCAAGGTGAAAACTGTTCAAGAAGAACTCTGCAGTAAAGCGTGAACTAGAAATAAAAGGTATAAGGAACAAAAAACCTGAACTAAAATATTAGCCATCTAACTTGCATCCCTTGCTAAGAGAAGAACTGTTTTCAACTGTGCCATTTATTATTCAGACACTGTGTGCGACATGTTCTTACCTAGGTTATTTTTCAACTTTTTCACTGACTCAGACTTTCTAACTCAATGGTTCTAAAAACGATATTTAATGAAACATTTGTCTTTTTAATGAGAGTTGTAATATTTCTTGGGAACGTTACAAAGTGCATTTTTATTAGTATTTTACTTCACCAATTCTGCAGCTGTAATAGGTTTCTTTTTACGTGGGTTTAGGAGTAGTACAGAGACTAAGAATTTCAATAATTTCAGAACAGAACTTGAAACAGACCGACCACTGCTCAAACCTAGGAGGATACCATCTCCTTTAACAGATGTGAATGACCTCAACAAACTATCATTAAGATAAATATGTAAAACAAAGTATATAGTCACTGTTAGGAACAAGAAGAATGTTGACACTGAAAGAGAAAAGCTTTCTTCTCATTAATGAACACTATTTTACTATTTATTAATAGAGAACACCCATCACTCATCTAGTGCACAGCTCAGCCCTGACCCTTAATAGTAGTGCAGCCCAGGTCTGATAGTGCTTTAATATTTACTGCCTAGTAACTCCTCGCATGACCACTTTCTTTTCACAGCTTTAAACTTCACAATGCTTTGAGGAGTTTTTAGTATATCCAAATCCACAAAAAATATCAAGGTAGGGGTACTCAAGAGACTGTGACAGACTTTTTCTTCGAGATACCTTAGCTTCTCTCATCTTATTAGGAAATAATTTCCTACTAATTTTAGGCTCCTTTCCTCCCCAAAACTAGTATTACCTTTGAGATTTGAGATTGAACCACTTAGGAGTTAATAGTGTTTTGCTCCCATGTCAATTCAAAGCCTCTAAAATTCCCATTCTATTTCAGTATTTAGGAGGCAGAAGAAAATTTAGAAGAATGTCCTCATCAAGCAGCATTAACATTACCAAGAATAGAAGAGGTAGAAAGTTCAAGCAAAAAACCCACGAGAATAATAGTGGTGGTGCACGACAAAAGCAAACTGAGCATCCTGAAGACCTACCAGCATCACCGCCTCCTTCGCTGCAGAAACGATATGCTTCCAAATGATCAATAAAGTGTGGTGTATGGGTGTCCCCCCACCCCCAAATGACTTTCTACAGCAGCAGACTGAGACTGTTGATTGTGCCTTGGAATTGTGGAGCACAGAAACACACGGTGAAGGGTAATTACTAATTCATCTGTCTTTTTGCTTCCCCCCAGCCCCTTCCCCAACTTCCTGGTCTCATGCCCAGTCCTCTCAAGCTACTTTGGAAGTAGAAGCACATGTTCCTAACCTGTGCTTTGGGCAAACAATCCACCATGACTCCTCGTCCACCCTTTCCCTGTGTCCTAGCTGTATCCTACTCCTTACTGCAACGGCTCACCTCCATCTCTTTTGTTTTAAAGAAATCGGTAACTTATTTAGTCAGCTGAAGCTGGTTATTCGTCACACTGATTTATTAACTGCCATTCGGTAGAGTATTACATCTAGTGACAAAAGCTGTTCCAAAGGCAGTGATGATTCCATCTCTGGCTTTTGCATTCAACCATATATTTTTTTTCTTAAAGAAGCACATTGGCAACATTATGTCTGGAGCCCTGGCTGTATAAGAAATTAATAGAGGCTGAGTGAAGTTGCCTTGCTGCAACAGGAGCATGGCGCAGAGCCCAGGTGCTGTGACAGAGATCTCTGCTGCAGCAATGCCACAAGCCAACACCAGGAACCTGAATGGGAGGAAAGACCATTCTCCCTCACAGCTATCTGCTGTGACAGCACTCAAGGAAGATGCAAACATGGGACAGTACATGCACTGGAAAAAAACAAGAGAGGAGACACCCATTTCACCAAATAACTAAGACCTAAATGCATCATAAGTGAGATACTGCCAAGCTGCACTTAGCAATTCCTACTTGATACTTAACACTTGTCTTGCATGCTTGAGTCTGCAACTGATTTTTTAGCTGTGGGATTTTCAAACTGTCTACATCAGATAATGTAAACTTACCATGGAAATTAATTAATCCAAACCCAGGAAGGATTTACTAAATCTCCTTGTCAATAGCTACATCCTTGCAGCATGGAGGATCCAAAAGTAAATTAAAATATTTTGGGGAAGACATTTACAACAATACGATGATGATACAGTTGCACAGGATATACAGGATTTGTCTTTGAAATATTAATTATAATTTGATTTTTATAAATCAAGAAAATTGGCAAGTTTATGCTCCTATTTTGAGCTGGAACGGTGTATCAATAGAAGATGTTGTATTTCAGCTTTTGGTGGTAATTCCTTATCACAAAAATATTTCCCTTTTTCTACATTAATAGTTTGCATACCAACTTCATCCTGGATCTCCTCTGCCACAGCAGGCACATTGTAGAGGAAGGAGAGAGACTGGTTCATGCGCTCATATATCACACGCAGATGTGTCATAACCTGTGGAAATGAAAGTATTTTAAGGAGGGGAATATTACTGTTAATTTGACATTACCACAGATTTCAGTGGTGATAGACAGCAAGCCAGGTAAATGATTTCAGTATGCTCTATGTACTGAAACTGTCAAGTCAATTGCAAAATTCACCTCTCTCTTCTAGCTACTACAAAAATAGTGTTCTAGATGCTCTTCTATAGCAACTACCTGAAATCCCATGGGAATGCAGTAATTTGCATTACTTTAAATTGTAGGGGTTGATATTTGCTGTGGGGCAGAGCATGTACACAAGCAGCTATTGTAGCAGAAATCCACAGCCTAGTTACCCGTTAACAATACGTACATTTGTCCACACCTGTAAGTTTTCACATAACATGCAAACCAAGTGAGGCACAATGATTGCTGCATCAAATTGTTTTAGCTGTTAGTTTGGTTGGTTGTTGTTGTTGTTTTTTTTTTTTTTTAAATTTATCCTAATAAAGAAATGGTTCTCTCTGATAAAATCTTCAGTTTTCTTGGAAAAAACATTTGCAAGCATCTTCAGCTGAAAACGAAAATATTTCCACCCAGAAGCGTTACTGCATTGTCTCATGTGATTACAACTCTGTTGCCTCAGGTTCTGCACACTGCTATGGGTTGAATCCAAACATCTTATGATAGATGCCCCCCCCCAGGGTACTCTCCACAAGTATCATCTCTCTTCAGTAGAGAGGGAAATTGAGGTGTATCTTAGGAGACTTAGAAGACTGATAGGGCAATTATGTCTAAAAAGGAAAATTAGTTGCAGGTGGCAATTTTAATGAAACCACCATATGATTTCTTCAAATCCAAAATATAGTCCCTACAGTTTTAATTGCTGTTCAGAAAGACAGCTACACCTCCTTCTTTTTTTTTTTTTTTGCTTTCTCACCCTCCATAATTTATGAAGACAACATAAAAGCTGTTCCAAGATGTACACATTGAGGACTGCAGTAATATTCAGCAGTTAAAATGCCATGAACTGCAGTACCTATTTTAAAAGAACATGTTAAACTTGAGTGTGTCGCAGTAATTGCATTTATAGACAGTACTGGTATCTCTGCAATGACTACAGAAAGGTTGACAGCACATGGTTACACCACTTTTAGTTCTGCTGCTTCAGCCGAGGGAAGTACAACCTTGTATGACTGCTAAATCTATTACTGAGGTATTATATTTACTAAAGCTCTTCTAAAGTCTCTGGGTGTTAACACTTTTGAGGGACTCCTCAGGAAATGCCCACAATTGACTGTCCGGACAGATTGAAATACTGTTTTTCAGATCTTCTCAGAAAATACATTTTATCCACCGTACTCCTACTTCACTTTGCCTTAACCATCTGCCAGAAAGCAGATTTTTTTTATTGCATGTAAAGCTGTCCACAGAAAGGAGTCAAGTATTTTTCTAAAAAAACAGGTTGACAGAAACTTCACAATGGCTATGAACAAACGTGATCCCTTCAACCCTCCATGGGGATTACCTGAGATCTGATTTGGGCAGCTTTCTTTGGGTCTACCATGCGGACATGTTCGAAATGTTTGAGAGTATGCTGTCTGTCTTTCTGCTCAGCACGCACGTACTTCTTCAGCATGTTGAACACATGACGAGGCTACAGGGAAGAAACAGGATAAAAAAATAAGTTTAGAACAACACATGTCTTGTGCCACCTTAGTATGCAAGTTTTAATGGACACACAGCATTGGTTTCTTTTGGGTTTTGCTTTCATTCTCTCCATCTACTTCTCTGGTTCACCAACTCAGGAAGTCGCCATGATCCAAGCTCCCAGTGTTGCAGCCTTCACCACCACCAGACAAATTCTGCCCACAAGATCCCCAGAAATCTGGACTCCACTGTCAGCATTTCAAAGATGCCCCATAAATGCTCTGCTATGATAAACACTCAACTAGTATCAACACCTGTCAACCACGGTTAAACTTTAGAAACAAAAAAGATGACAAGTGGTACGTTTTGTCAACATTACACTGAATGTACACATTCAGATTAAAATCAGGCAGTAATTTGCCCGACAGCTGCACAGAAGACCATGTGAAAGCACTACTCCAAGCCAAGCAACAATCACTGTACTTGACTGCAAAACTTAAGAACCCCCTCAAGACATCACCACTGCTATGCCATCAGAGAGAAAAGAAAGAGGGAAGGAAGCACTGAGCTTACAGTACAGAAAGCACATGTAATGGAAAAGCTGGAAGATAAAAGGGCCACCTAACTTGGTTCTTTTGAAGGTACTCAGCTTACGTGCCAGATTGCGATAAAAATCTTAGTCTATGTATGTATTGCAGGTGATTTCAATTAGCAAAACCTATTAAATATATGCCTTAAGGCATATAATTGGATGCAAAGGAAAGGTCTGTAGCTGAAGGGAACAAGAAAATACATACACAGACTGATGACAGAGTAGTGAAGACTAGGAAATGGCTATTTCCACATACTTTCCTACTCTGTAAAATAATACAATGCCAAAACCAGGAACTGTTCTCTAGCATTCAGCTAAGAATCCACTTTTTAACTCAGTGTTTATGAAGGATTCTGGAAACCCCCTCCCACTAAACCTGCTTGTGCTGTTGTGCTTGTGCATCCTCCCTGTGGCTGCCGAGGAATGAAAAGTGTGAAGCTGAGGTGGATGAAAAGAAAGGGAAAGGTGACTTCACTGTGCAGTAGATTAAGGAATGCGCAGAAGTGGCGAACAGCTCATCTAGGCATTGGCAGTGATACAGGGAAGAGGGTGGGGACGTGGCAAAATAAGTATCAGAGGCTCCATGTGCAGCCTTCTGAAGCACAAAGAACTGTGGGTGAAGCTGAAGTTTTAAGAAGATTTAAAGTCATGGACAAATATAGACTTAGACTAATTTAACATTTACACAAGAAAGGAATACTAAGCCACAAAGCACAAAGATTTAAGAATCTTCTTCAGCTTAAGAAAAGCAACACATTTAAAAATGTCTGAGGAAAGTAAACTAAAGGTTATTTGAAGATTTCTCAAACAAAAATAGAGAGATGTGAAGTCATTCCCTGCCAGAGGATTAAACTTAGCGGCCCCATGACTGAAAATTCATTCATGAGGAAAATAACCTCAAGCCCCAAAGCTGAGCACCCAGGGATGAAGCTGTGAGGCAGTCTGGACAAGTGCTGGGAAGTCTTTGTCACAACAATGTGGTAATGGCCAAAGAAACTGAAATTCCAACTGTAAAGCTTTATAGAAACAAAGCTAGAAGACCAGAAAGTTTAACAACAAAAAAATTTAGAAGACACAAAATATCATTACCTTTCCTGACAATTCAGCCTTCCCTGCTCCCAAAACAGCAAGTTTGGGAAGACTAGAGAGAAGAGGATTTTTATTTCTTCAGGAGATATTCCAACTGAAGTGTCACGTCTAACACCAGCAGGGCATAGTCTTTCCTTTCCCTTAGTGTGTTTGTATTCACTGCAGTATGTCAGTGAAACTTTTATATTGAGTCACAGATAGATTTGTTGATAGGATAACAATCTTGAAGATACCTGTCAAGTACCACTAACAGGAGTAGTCACTTGGGTAAACTGGCATCCCATCTTCAGTGACTTCTCTAACATTGAGAAGTGTTGCAAACTGATCACTATAAAGGAGAAATGGACATGCATACCTCCAGCATGTGTGGCAAAAAAAAAACTCCCTGTGATGGCAGCAGAAAACCATAATTCAAGTTTAGGACAACGTATAAAGAATACTAAGCGGAAGATACTTCCTTACAGGGGCAGAGACTGCTTTTCCTCAAGCAAAGAAAAAAGCACACTAGAAACTCACTGTATGTGGGTATACAAGTCTAGGGAGTTCCAATATTTTATTTTTAAAACTAGCTAAGTGCATTTTAACCCTGATGGTCAGTATTGATCTAGTGATTGCACATTGCCTAAAAGCTTGTGACACTGTGTGTGACACTTGTGACACAACAACAAGTGATTCAAAGCTCTAGAAAACATGTCCTGCCTCAACTGCTAAGGTAACATAGTGGCTTATTTCCACTCTGATCATAAAAAACCCAAAGGAGGTGGTATCCCCCAAACATGTGACATGCACTAAACCAGCTCTGTTTCCTTGCTGGGAGTCCCTGTCACACTGGATCAGGTCAGACCTCCAACCTTGCCAACAACTTTGCAATGCTACTGCCACATGGCGCCAGGGATGTGGCTGAAGGTGAAGCTGCCAGACCTGGTGACAGGCAACAACAGCTCTCCACTGGGCTCTGCATACCTGACTGTGGTGGTTACCACAAACAAGGACCAAGTTTTATAGTGGAATGTAACTTAGTAATAATAACAAAAAAACTTGACCATTTTCTCCTCAATACCTAGACCTACAGATCTACTGCTTGCAGAGTTTTGGCAAATTTCAAGATCAGCAAAAGTACCTTGACCCAAATCTCACCTCTGTATTGTATTTCATAAACATTTTCTTTTAAATGCCATTATTGAGTGAACTGGTTCTGCTTAAAAATCCCACCCACGCAGGCACTTTTTGCAGAGATACTTTCCTCAGGATTCACTCCCAAATCTAGTATACTGAGCAGCGATATGAACTCTGGTGATGGTAGAGCAGAGGGGCCACAATGAATGGTCAAGGACAGAGGTGAGGAAAGGCTTCACAGGCTGAGGAGAAGCTGTCAGACCCTGAGTCTGAAGCTATTATATCCACAGCCTTCTATTACTTCAACCCTTGGCAGGAACCTTCAGGTTAAATTATAAATGAAAGTGGTGCTATTATCAGCTAAATTAAGTACCCTAGGCCTCAGCTCTGACATTGTCTATGGCAGAAGAACAAACAGATTACATGTCTCAGGGTCAGGCTGGCACTACTTGCTCTTCATAAAATAACGTACCAATGGCCCAACTTCATTAAGAAATCCTAGATTTAGCATTTGAAATCCTGTTGTGTGTTTTGCCAGGGAAAACTCAGTGTGCTCACATCCGTAGTCACCTTAACAAAAAACATCTCAGAGAATAAATAACTTTTATTAGCCACCAGGGGCTACCTAAGCCCCGTGAAATAATTCCACTATTTTCAGTCTTACTGTGAAAACGACCATGATACTCCAAACAGAACTTCTGTTATTCCCATGTTGTTAGTTACCCTGGCTGACACTGGTGGTGACTGTCATTTATCCAGTGACAGGACCCAGCACCAAATTAAGAAGGCACATGATTTCATTAGTAATGCTGTTTAGTTAGGAATCATATTGGCTAATGAGCCCTCCAAAACCCTGGACTGGCTGGCAAGAAGCTGAAGTCCACAGTCCTATGGCAGACACTCACTATTTGGACAAATGCTGCGGGCAATGCAGGGTGAAGCCATGTTCACAGACCTTTCACAAGCTATCGTGACAGGCCAACAGAAGTACTCGTGTCTGTGGGTATTTTAGTTGTTAATTTAAAATCCTGTTAATGCTGGAGGATGTTGTCAAAGTATTATGTTGTATAGGTTTTGTGAGTGTGTTGGGACTCGCAGGTGTTCAGTTCGCTCGGGACAACGTAGACAGGTTCACAGACTATGTGTGCAGTCTACGGAGTCTACCCAGGCTGACAACACACCATTAAAAAGCTAATTTTCTGCCTAAAATTGTAGAGACTATGCCTTTTCTCTTACGTGGAAAACAATTCTTTTTATGAAAAACAAACAAAAATAATTTAAATATATATATATATGCACCAGGGCAGAGTTAAGGACCTGTACTGCACCCCCCTGGTTTGAAAGCTTAACCCGGCAGTCCTGACAACTGGTTATCAGGTTTCCAGCTGTACAAAGCAGAGGCCCAAATGAAGAAGAACATGTTGATGGCTCCTTGGCTACCTGGTGGCAAGTTCCAGCCTCACTGGCTCTGTAATAGAGTGCCTTTACTGCAGGTGGCATCAGCATCGAGGTACGGTCACTGCCATAAAGGAATCAATATATGACATCTAAAATGCCTGAAAACCAGTTTCTAGCAAGTAAGTATGCATATATATATAAATATGAATACACATGTATGCAGATGCTTCCCCACAGACTCTACACTGATCCTAGGCTACTGATTTAGATTTTAAAGTAGCGATGAAAGAGTGCAATTTCATTCAGCTTGGAAAATGGCAACATCAGATGTTGTTTGGATTGCTACAAATATAACTTACACTCTCCTCACGGAAATCCAAAATACTTACTACAGAGAAACAACTTAAAAATCATATTAAAGCACTTCTGTGTATTTAAAATAGAACTTCCTGGCTCTATGCCAGGGAAATTCTATGTGAAATTGTGAGCTGGAATGTCATTTTGATCAAAATTCTCTCTAAATCAGAGAGGAAAGTTTCACAATGATGTATTATGCTATTTAATCTTGCCTTTAGAGAAAAATCAATCACCAGTCCTTTCTGATTATTCCTTTTGAAATGTGTAACAATTGCTCCTTTTCATTCACTTATTAGGAAAACCTTGTATACCATATTAGGTATATATTTTATCAGTTCTATTACTAACTTGTGGGTCATGTCTGACATGGGAGCAGTATTTAGTTTTAGGAACATTCAAGAAAGGCTGGCTAAGATGAATGCAAGACTTTCACTCATGGGTAAGACACAACTGAA